GTGCCGTGACCGTATGACCGTATGATCCGTATGATCCGTATGATTCGTATGACTCGGGCTGAGGCTTCAATGCCAGGCTTGCCGAGTCATACGAATCATACGAATCATACGGATCATACGGTCATACGGTCATACGAATCTGCCTGGGCCGGGGCGATGTTCAGCGGGTTGGGCCGGCGCCGGCGTCGACAAAATGTGGAGATTTTTGCCAGTTTTTTTGGCGCAGTCACTCAACGCCAAAAAGGCTAAGAGGGACAGCGGGCCTTTTTGTTGAGTTTTTGACACCCAACGGGATGGGCTTGGTTCACCCAACCCGCTGGGGCTTGATACTGGTCCGCCCAACCTGCGCTCGACGCCCAACCCCGTTTTTGATACTGGTTCACCCAACCCGTTCAGGTTTGATACTGACCCACCCAACCTGCGCTTGGTACTGGCTCGCCCAACCTCGTGTTGATACTGGCTCGCCCAACTGAGCCCGTTTTTGCGTGTTTTTTGCACGCTTTTGGGATTGCACCCTTTTGCACCCTGATTGCACCCTAATTGCACCCTAATTGCACCCTGATTGCACCCTTCAGCCGGTTGGCTTTTGCACGTTTTTCTGCTTGTTTGATTGCACCCTTTTCTCATCCTCCCCCTCTCTTTTGCCCGTTTTTGCGTGTTTTTGCACGCTTTTGGGATTGCACCCTTTTGCACCCTGATTGCACCCTAATTGCACCCTGATTGCACCCTGATTGCACCCTTCAGCCGGTTGACTTTTTGCTAGTTTTTCTGCTTGTTTGATTGCACCCTTTTCTCATCCTCCCCCTCTCTTTTGCCCGTTTTTGCGTGTTTTTGCACGCTTTTGGGATTGCACCCTTTTGCACCCTGATTGCACCCTGATTGCACCCTTCAGCCGGTTGACTTTTTGCTAGTTTTTCTGCTTGATTATGGGTTCAGGTTTTTTTCAAGTACTGGCTCGCCCAGCAGGCCCGGGTTTTTTTGGCTTAGTACTGGTCTGCCCAACGGGTTAGTCAGACGAAGGGGGTCGGAGCTCGGAGTTTTTTAGGCTCTTATAGGAACCTATAGGAACCTATAGGAACCTTATAGGAAACCCATAGGAACCCATAGGAAGGCCATAGGAAAAGAAGAAGAGGGCTTCCTACAGGTTTCCTATGGGTTTCCTATGGGTTTCCTATAAGGTTCCTATAGGTTCCTATAGGTTCCTATAAGGGGCCCGCCGCCCGACCCGTTCAGGTTTGATACTGGCCCGCCCAACCTGCGCTTGATACTGGTTCGCCCAACCCCGTTTTTGATACTGGTTCCCCCAACTCCGTTTTGATACTGGCTCTCCCAACGGATTTTTTGCTCCGGTTTTTGGGCTCTATCGCTTGGGCCTCTTTTAGGCAGACCGCATCCAGCCGAGGGTGGGGGGAGCCTGACCGAAGACAGGGGGGGGTGAGACATTGAGACAAGTGAGACAAACACAAAACCGGAATTTGGCTGTTTTTTGAGCAAGTGAGACAAGTGAGACAAAAAATGGGACAAGTGAGACGAACACGAAACCTGTTGATTTTGCTGTTTTGAGCAACTGAGACAAGTGAGACAAGTGAGATAGACACAAAGGCGGCAAAATTCGCTGTTTGTGAGCAATTTTGCTGAGATATTTGGACAATTGAGACAAGTGAGACAAATGAGACCATACAGAACTGTCCGGAAAACAATGCCAAATGGACGTTTTTTTGTTTGTCTCACTTGTCTCACTTGTCTCACTTGTCTCAGGGGGGGGGGTCTCTGGCTCTGGAGAAAAAAAACTCGTCTCTTCTCAAGGCTTTTCGTGGGACCTGGTCGGAGATCAGGGAGGTGAGACAAGTGAGACAAGTGAGACAAATACAAAACTTGTTGATTTTTTTGCAGTTTTGAGCAACTGACACAAGTGAGAGAAGTGAGACACATGAGATGTACGAAACCTGGCGATTTTTTGCTGTTTTTGAGCAACTGAGACAAGTGAGACAAGAGTCAGACAAATGAGACAAACACGAAACCTGTCGATTTTGATGTTTTTGAGCAACTGATACAAGTGAGACAAGTGAGACGAACACAAAAGCGGCAAATTTGCTGTTTTTCTGATCAATCCTGCTGAGAAATTCAGACAATTGAGGCAAGTGGTGCAAATGAGACCACACAGAGCTGCCCGGAAAACAGCGCAAAATGGCAAGTTTTTTGTTTGTCTCACTTGTCTCACTTGTCTCACTTGTCTCAGGGGGACCTCTCTGGCTCTGGGCAAAAAAAAACCTCGTCTCCTCTAGTGGTGAATTTTGCCAAATAGACTTGCTTTTTTTCTTGGATGGATTGGATGACGTGAAGAGAGCCATGGCAATGTCTCAATGATACTGGTTCGCCCAACGGGTCTGGCGGGATTCTTTTTTTTAAAGTACTGGTTCGCCCAACGGGTGGTGGAAGTTGGGATGGGTACTGGCTTGCCCAACGGGTAGAGGGGGTCTGCTTGGTACTGGTCTGCCCCAACAGGTGGGGGGCCCAACAAAAGTTTTAGGGCGTTGGGGTTGGTACTAGTCTGCTCAAACGGGCGTGGGGGGGTTTGGGGGGTGGTACTGGTCCGCCCAGACACACTGAGACAAGTGAGACAAACACAAAACGGACCAATTTGGCCTTTTTTTGGTATGAAAGCCTTCCCTGAAACAAGTGAGACAAGTGAGACAAAAGCGAAACCAGCCATTTTTTTACCTGTTTTCTACAATGAAGAGACAGGTCGTTTTTTTTATCAGAGCCAGAGAGACCCCCCTGAGACAAGTGAGACAAGTGAGACAAGTGGGCCATTTTGGCTGTTTTCCTGCATGAAACCCTCTGCTGGGACGACTGAGACAACTGAAACAAACACAAAAAACGGGCAAATTTGATTGTTTTCTGGTATAACAGCCTCCATTGAGACAAACTGAGACAACCGCTGAGACAAGTGAGACAAACACAAAAACCAGCCAATTTGGCTCTTTTTTTTCAAGTACTGGTTTGCCCAACAGGCCGACCCGTTCAGGTTTGATACTGGCCCGCCCAACCTGCGCTCGGCACTGGCTCGCCCAACTGGGCCCGATTTTTGGCTTGGCAGGAGGCTTCGATGCCAGGCAGGTGCCGAGGCTTCAATGCCAGGCAGGTTACCTGGTTGGTACTCCCGAAGTGCCGAGCCGTGGCCGTATGACCGTATGATCCGTATGATCCGTATGATCCGTATGATCCGTATGATGTATTCGTATGACTCGGCAAGCCTGGCATTGAAGCCTCAGCCCGAGTCATACGGATCATACGGATCATACGGATCATACGGATCATACGGATCATACGGTCATACGGGTCTACGAATCTCCCTGGGCCGGGGCGGTGTTCAGCGGGTTGGGGTCGGCTCCGGCGTCGAAAAAATGTGAAGATGTTGCCAGTTTTTTGGCGCTGCCACCTGTCGTCAAAAAAACGACGAAGAGTGGCAGCGGGCGTTTTTGTTGAGTTTTTACTCCGTTTTTGCAGGTAGCATGGATGGCCCCCTGTTTGGAGGCTTGCCGAGGGGGCGTGGTTAGGTACTGGTCTGTCCAACGGGTCTGGGGGGGGGTTTCGGATTTTTTTTTTCAATGGTTCGCCCAACGCGCCTGGAGGGGTTTCGATTTTTTTTCAATGGTCTGTCCAACGCGCCCGGGGGGATTCGTTTTAAGTACTGCTTCGCCCAACGGGTCTGGAGCCCAACGGGTCTGGAGGGGTTTCGTTTTTTCAAGTACTGGCCTGCCAAAGGGCCCGGCATTTTTGGCTTAGTACTGGTCTGCCCAACGGGTCTGGGGATAGGTGTCGGGTTTTTTAAGTTCTGGTTTGCCCAGCAGGTCTGGAGAGGTTTCGGATTTTTTTTCAATGGTCTGCCCAACGTGCCTGGGGGGATTTGTTTTTAAGTACTGGTTCGCCCAACGGGTACGGGGGGTTCGTTTTTTAAGTACTGGTCTGCCCAACGGGTCATGACCCAACCAGACGAAGGGTGTCGGGAGCTCGGAGTTTTTTTGGGCCCTTATAGGAACCTATAGGAACCCATAGGAATCTTATAGGAAACTCATAGGAAACTCATAGGAAGTCCATAGGAAGCCCATGAAGAGGGCTTCCTACAGGTTTCCTATGAGTTTCCTATAAGATTCCTATAGGTTCCTATAGGTTCCTATAAGGAGCCCAACCCTCGGACTCACTGCCATGGTTTGATGCTGGTTCGCCCAACCCGTTTGGGCTTGATACTGGTCCGCCCAACCCGTTTGGTTTGCCGAGGACCCCAAACCCTAAAGGGACATTTGCACCGTTTTGCGCCACGAAATGCTATTCTTACAGGGTGTACATGTATGTACGGCCTGGACTAATAGCTTTCTTTGCACGGTTTTGCGCTACAAAATGCTATTCTTCTAGGGGAGGAATAGCTTTTTTCGCACGGTTTTGCGCTACAAAATGCTATTCTTCCAGTGTGTATATTGATATAGGCACTAGAGGAATAGCTTTTGCACGGTTTGCCCATGCCAGCCCCCGCTCATTTGATTGGTTCGCCCAACCCGTTGGTTTCCCGAGCACCCCAAACCCTAACCCAAAAAAAGGAGCTGAGCAGGCTCCGGGAATTCCCCCCCCCCCAGCCTGCGCAATGCCTCGAAACCCTTTTTTTCTAGTTTTTTCGCTCGATCAGGATCAGGCAATTCCAACTTGAGTTTTTTTTTGCGCCAAAAGGGGTCCGACCGAGGTTCCCTGGACGCAGGGAGGCCGGGTCGTGCCTAAAAAACCAGTTTTTTCAAAGGAGGCTAGTCGAGGGTCCTGGGCCTCGGAGGCCCCAGAAAGTCGTCCAGCTGCCTCACAGCCGCCGGCCGGTAGCATGGGTAGCATGGGTAGCATGGGTAGCATGGGGTTTTTTGGGGCCGAGACAGGAAAACGTTTTTTTGAGCAGTGCATTTTTTCCGGGCGGAGAGTCATCTTGAGATTCATGTGCATGATTGACTTGCCGTTGCAGCCATTTTTGCGACTAGAGACCTGCCGCGGAGTGGACCCGACTATTGCGCCTTTTCTGGAGGCGGATCCTTTCCCTTTCAAGCAAGATTGATTAGTTCAGTAAATTGATCTCTGGTCCTGTTGCATTCCCGCCAGGCCATGGAAATCACAGAGCCGGTGCAGCTTGTGCCGACGAACGAGCCCGAAGTCGAGAGGGAGGAGGCCTGCTGTTACAGTTTTTTGACAGTCAAGATCACGTTGCGTTCCCGCCAGGCCATTGGAATCCCAGAACCGGTACGGCTTGTGCCAACGAACGAGCCCGAAGTTGATAGGAAGGAGGCCTGCAGTACGGCTCGTGCCAACGAACGAGCCCGAAGTCAAGAGGAAGGAGGCCTGCTGTTACATTTTTTTTGATAGTCAAGATCATGTTGCATTCCCGGAGGCTGTGGAAATCAAGGATCCTGTGCAGCCGATGCCGGTGGACAATGCCAACCCTCATGACGAAGGAGGGAGCGAGGCCCGCAGTCTTCCTGCTTGAATACAGTGTTTTTCAGAAGTCATGGAGAGTCAGGCAAACTCAAACGATGCTGACATGCCGGAAGGGGAGAGGACTCAGGCTTGTCAGTGCGTATCCATTTGTTGCTCATGCTTTTGGGGAGAGAGCTTGAGTGGGTCACATAGCGCCAGGCGATCGAAGGGCATGCAGATGAATCCGATGGGGAAGACAGCGAGGCCCGTGTGTTGCTGTTTTTTTTCTTCTTCATCACCCCAACAGAACCTCGCTACCCATGCTACCCATGCTACCCCGGCTTTGTTGTGCGTCACTCCGTGGATGTAGCATGGTGCCAGGCGAGCATGAACCAGGCGGATGAGCCTGAAGACGAGAAGGCCTGTCAGAGCGTGCTATGCATTATTTTTTTGGAGAGGGACTCGAAGGCGATTGAAAGCCATGCAGATGAGTCCAAAGGCAGGGAGGACGAGGCCTGTCTGTTGCCTCATGTGCTTTTGGTGTCAATGCATGTCATGCATTCTTTATTCATGCGCCTTTTTGGAGAGGGAACTTGAGTGTGTCCTGGTGCCAGGCCAAAGGCAAGCAACGAGGACCAGGCCTGTCTCTTGCTGCAGTTTACCCTCCAAAATCCCCTTGCTACCCATGCTACCCATGCTACCCAGCCTTAAAACACGGCCAAGGCATGCCTCGTTGCATTTCTGAGCTGGAGCATGGGTAGCATGGGTAGCATGGGTAGCATGGGGCCATTTGGAGGCCCGCCGCAATCCCTCGGGTAGCGCGGGTAGCACGGGTAGCACGGGTAGCAAGGGTAGCACGGGTAGCACGAGCCATTTTGGAGGCTCGCCGCAATCCCTCGGGTAGCACGGGTAGCACGGGTAGCACGGGCCATTTTGGGAGGCTCGCCGCAATATCTCAGGCAGCACGGGTAGCACGGGTAGCACGGGTAGCACGGGTAGCACGGGTAGCATGGGTAGCAGGGGTAGCGTGGGCACGGGTAGCAGGGGCCATTTTGGGAGGCTCGCCGCAATCCCGCGGGTAGCACGGGTAGCACGGGTAGCCGGGGCCATTTTGGAAGGGGGGCCAATTCTGGTTGGTTGCCAGGACCTTTGTTGTGCGGTCGCAGCTTCCTGAGGCGCTAGGCTGATGAGCCCCAGGCCAAGCGAGAAGGTGGAGTCCTCAGGATCTTTGGATGGTTCATTTTCTTCGGATGAGGAGAGCGCTGTTTCTGCCAACAAAACAGTGTCCAAAATGGTCCGAGCGGAGCTGGTCTTGGAGCTGCAGAGTTTGGCGGACAAGGACCTCCAGGGCATGGTTGTGCATGTGCTGCGCCACATGCTGAACCAACATGTCCTTGACGCTTGCAAACCCGTTGCGATGTTGCTGGCTCTCTTGCTCTTGTACATCCAACAGCCTTGGATTTTTTTACTTGTGAACCAGCATGTTCTTGAAGCTTGCAAACCGCTTGCAACTTTGAGCCAGCATGTGTGTGTGTGTGTGTGTGCGCGAGCAGGCCACAGGGCAATTTTGCTGTTTTTTGGGAAGTGCACGCAAGGCCGGGTGACCCCGTGCTACCCTTGCTACCCCTGCTACCCATGCTGCCCATGCTACCCTTGCTACCCCTGCTACCCACGCTACCCATGCTGCCCATGCTACCCATGCTACCCGTGCTACCCACGCTACCCATGCTGCCCATGCTACCCATGCTACCCGTGCTACCCGTGCTACCCCGAACAGAAACGCATCCAGGGCGAGTGTGGTTGCATTTTTGTGCTGGGTAGCATGGGTAGCATTTGTAGCATGGGTAGCATGGGTAGCATGGGTGGCATGGCCCCGCTGGGAGGCAGAGTGCTTGCTTGACTGGATGTCTATTACTTTTTTTTTTTTGCCTTGATGTCTTTCAAGCATGCTGCAGCAAGGTCTCTACTTTATGCACACGGCTATCTTTCGTCTTCGACCTGGGCCTTCCGCTGGTGCTGGTGAGGCATTTGATGACCGTGGTGAGTTTCTGCGTGAAAGCGCCTTGCTCGAAAGCGCTGCAGGCCATGGAGATTCACGACCCAGTCCAGACAGGTGCCTCCACCTGCACCTGAGAATGCGCCTTCAAGCTTGCTGGCCGTTTCTGTTTTGGGGATGAGCGGGAAAGGGCCGTGCTATCTGAACATAAACTCATCCAGGGCTTGTGAAGCTGCAATGTTTGGAGCTCATTTTTTGCGGGTAGCTGGTGATGCGTCCAGGCGCCAGCAGGTGCAGCAATCTCAGATGACGAGGAAAGTGTGGATGAGAAGCAGGCCAGCGGAATCAGGCCCGACATGTCTTGATACAAGAGTTCTTATTGGAGTTGGAGCTTGTAGTTGGCCTTGCTTCCTTGTTGGCCTTGCGTTTCCCCGTTCTCGCGTTGCCAGGCGATGCAGATGCGCCAACAGATGGAGCCGCTGCCTGAGGATGGGAGGCTTGTTTGCATGACCGGTGTCCAAGATGCGCTCAGATAGGATGCGTTGGCTGTGCATTGTGTGCATTGTGTGAAAGGGTTGGCTCACACACACAGCGACGTTCGTCCAATAGACAAGTTTCCTTTCAACCTCAAGCAAAACGATTTTTGGATATGTTTTTTGATCATAGCGCGAAGCACCGCAAAAAGTCCCCAAAAGCTTCCGTCAGCTGCCATGTTTCAAAGCTCATGGTGGGCGCGGCTGCAGCAGGTTGCCAGCATCTACAAGGTGGCAACGCTTCCCCTGGCTCTTGTGGGCACTGGTGTCACGGGCGCACGTTTTTACAACTCCTGGAACCCAGAGGGGTATGCCCGATGGTACCTGTGGAGCATTTCCGCTGGGCGCTTTAAGGAACCGACGTATGCCAAGCCCTGGGTGGCCAACAAGAGCATGACACAGATCGTCCGGCAGGCTTTGAAAGAGCTCAAGAACTTCGAGCTGATGACGCTGATCAGCGGACTGCAGACCTCTGGAAAGACCAGTGCGGTTCTGAAGGAATGCCACGATCAAGGCAAGGTGGGCTTCTTCATCGGCCTCGGCGACTACACGGGCGAGGAGAACGACAAGGAGAAGATCGAGGAGTTCGTGGTGGGCAGCCTGATCTCAAACCAGACAGCCACCTTCCACGGCTGGTTTCAGCACATGAAGTGGTTGTTTTTCCCACAGCCGCAGCCCCATGCGGTGTGGAAGGGCCTGCGTGGAGCCTTCGAGGCACACCCGCAGCAACTGGTTCTGGTGGTGGATGAGACGCAGATTCTCGCGAACGAGGTGATGCAGCACAGCGGCATCCTGAACCACTTTTGTGCCCTTTCTCTGTGGGGCAATGTGGTCCTGGTCGCCAGCGAGTACGGTGTGGCCCAGTACTTCAAGCTGATGACGCACGTGACCGAGCGCACGGACATGCTCCAGCGCCTACCTCCGAGGAGATGCAGCCACACGTCAAGGAGCGCTTCGAAGCGGACTTTGGCGAGGAGGGCGTGGCCCAAATTGTCCGCTCCTTGGACGGCTCCTTCAAGCTCTTGCGCCGCTTGGATCAAAATCGAGCCCTGGGCATCGAGGGCGTGAAGAAGTGGCACAAGGAGCAGCTCAAGTACAGTCTGGAGCTGACAAAAACAGGGATGGAGAAGGAGGAGAAGGCCACCAAGATTGGCAAGGCCATGTTGGCCGCTGCAGAGATGGCCTTTGGGCTGCCAGTGGAGGCCTTCGACAAGGCCACGCTGGAGCTTGCTCAAGTGGGCGGCGCCAAGATCGAGACCACGGATGATGGGCTCCAGGCCTCATGGGCCTCGCCGCTCACCGGGGAGGTGATGAAGGAATTGGTTTGCGATGAGGGCGTGGCCACCATCATGAAGAAGCGCGTGCCCGCAGAGACTTACAAGGAGTTTGAGCAGGTGATCAAAGGCAGATGCCCCACAGTGAAGCAGTAGTTTGGGCAGTCGGCCTGTTCAGGAGAGAGTTGTCTACATCGTGCGAGTGAAAAGTTGGGCAAGCCCATCGTGCTTTTTGCCCCCACGTGGGCTTTCTTGCAGATTTGTTGTCGCTGCCAAGGACAGGATGCCTCATCCAGCCAGCGCTGGAAACAGGCTGGATAGAAAAGGACAAGCTTGGCAGCTTCACATTTTGATGCAGACCTGGGGGAGAGGCCATGCACCCATGCTACCCACCTCAACAAAGCGCAACTACATTGGCCCTGGCAGCATTTTTACAAGGTAGCACGGGTAGCACAGGTAGCATGGGTAGCATGGGTAGCACAGGTAGCATGGGTAGCATGGGTAGCGGGGGGATAGCGGGGGCAGCGCGGGTAGCCGGGTAGCGCGGGGGGGGGGGAACACGGGTAGCACGGGTAGCGGGGGCTAGGGGGGGGGGAGCGCTGGAAATCTTGATGATTGGCGGGGCATCCCAAGAGGCAAATTTGGCAGATGTTGTGGCGACCCAATCCCTAAAGTCTTGACATGGTTTGACTCGAGCGTGCCATTGTGCAGTCACGTGGCGTCCACGCTCTCACGAGACACCCATGTTGGATTCATGAGAGGCTCATGCAGGAATCATGCAACTGTGTTCTGCCTGAAGGCCCCCCAAGCTCGCCCAAGGCGCAAGTCCTGCCTTTTTTGCTGTGGAGCCGGGCTTGGGTGTTCATTTGCGGCCCAGATGAGAACGCAATGAACCGCGTTTTAAGCCGCACAAAGCGGGATACTCTTGTAGCGTCCGTTTCAAAGCCCTCAGTCAATGGTCCTGGGCGGGAGCTGTCCCAGGAAGTCGTCCAGCTGCCTCAGCGCAGCGGCCTGCCGCGCTTCGTTAGCCGGCGTGTTGCCGCATGGACGCTGCCTTGAAAGCTGGCAAAGCTTCATGGACGTCTCCCTGTCGAACTGGCCGGTCCGCCCCAGCGCAGCGTGGTCCTGGCCACGCACCGTCGCGGTTCTGAGCGTCGACGGCTACACGCTGACCCTGGTTGTGAACCCCTGGAACATCGTCACCTGCAGCCTGACTCCCGGCCGGGAGCTCAGCAGGCCTACTTTGCCCAGCCGCACGAGACGGTGTACGGAGCGCCTGAGGAGAAGCAGCCGGCCACCGAGTTCCGGCTGCTGCAGGACAACGCCGACAAGTTCCGGTACAACAAGAAGCTTGCGGACCGGCGCGTGGAGGACGCGGGCACCTTCTCTCCCCCTCTCTCACGCCCAGCTTGCCCGTCAGGAGGCCGTCCACCTGCGCGATGGTGTAGTAGCCGAGCAGGGCTGGAGGCCATTGCCGTGTCCTGGTCGGCAGCCAAGCAATGCACCAGTGCCGAGGCGGTGGTGAAAACGTCCTGGTCCGGTCGCAGCGCGCCCGCGATGGCGCCTGTCCTGGGCGCTCGCCGTCGCGTGTAGTCGCCCAGCAGCGCGTCCACTTGCGCCCGCGTCCTGCGCCGTCCCCGTGCGGTAGTCGACCAACAGCATTGCTAGCAGCGCGTCCACTTGCGCCGAGATGTAGTAGGCCAGCAGCGCAGCTGCGAGGGCCGCGTCCGCCGCTGCGATGGAGTAGCAGTCGGCCGTGATGCTCAGCGTGTCGTCGCCGTTGGCCAGCGCAGCAGAGAGAGGAGCCTCCAGATGCAGGTTGCGAACGACGTTGCTTCCGCGAAGGAGCTCCCAAGTTCGTGAAGCCCGCCCAGGCCGGCGCGTTAACAACTCCGCCTCCGGGAAGCTGCAGGGCGGCGAGCTCCGCGAGGATTGCGTCGAGGGCGCTCTGGAGCGCGGTCTCGCTGGCGGAGAGCGCGGCGTTCGTGGCGTACGAGGCCAGCAGCGCCGCGTCGGCCTTGGAGGCCTGGAGCGCCGTGATGCTGGCGTCCCGGCTAGCAAGCTGCGCTGCGACGAAGGCCTCGGTGGCGAGGCCCAGCAGCGCATTTGCTATTTTGGTGTCTACCTCCAGTGGCGTGTCCAGTCCGTCCACCGTGGAGAGCAGGGAGGCCAGCGCGCTGGCGTCCGCCTTGCCGAGGAGGGCGGCGTCCAGGGCTGCCGTGGTGACGGCGTCCAGGAGAGCGGTCGCTATCTTAGAGTCCACCTCAGAGGAAGTGTCCACGGCCGACTGCAGGGCGTACGCGGTCAGCGCGCTGGCGTCCGCCTTGGAGGCCTGCAGCCCCGAGATGGTGGCGTCTCTGCTCGCGAGTTCGGAGGCCAGCGCCGCGGCGGTGACGGCCCCCAGGAGAGCGTTGGCCACCTTGGTGTCCACCTCCAGCGGCGTGATCCTCGCCGCTATGTCTAGGGAGTGCTGGTCCACCACCGTCTTGAGGCCGTAGTTGGCGGCCACCGTGGCCAGCGTGGCGTTGTTGGCCGAGGCGATGGAGCCGTTCATGGCCGCCGTGGTGCTGTAGTTGGACAGCTTCAGGTCCACGCCGTCCGGGGTGCTCTTCGTCGCCACCACGCCCTCCAGCACGTCGAAGGCCGACTGGTCTGCCTTGTTGGAGAGACCCGTGGTCAGCGAGCTCTGCAGCGCGGCGATGCTGCTTCCGTGCGCGGCCACCTGACCGTCCGTGGTGGCCAGGGCCGCCGCCGTGGCCAGGGGCGCAATCGCCGGCGCCAGCGCGCTGCTGTCCAGCTTGGAGGCCAGCTCTGCGGTGACTCTGTCGTCCAGGGACTGGATGGCCGCCGCGTTGTTGCCGGCGGCTGCCGTGTTCACCGCCAGGTCCGTTACTTGAGCGTACGGCGTGAGAGCCAGGGCCAGCTGCCCTGCGGTGACGTGCGTGCCGTCAGTCACCTCTCCGTTGTCCAGGACCTCCGGGATATTGCCGGTAACAGGTCCTTCAAACATGTTTACATATGTTCTCGCCGACGCCTTAGTCCAGTGGCTAAGGCGTCGGCCAAGGAGCTAAGCGCTTCTTACTCCGCACAGGGCTCGATTCCTGCCGCGAGCGCAGTTGAGTACCATTCAGTCCGAACTCCGGCCGTTCGGAGAAGTTTCCTTGTCCTCTGTGATTCGGGGGTTGGTGTGTTTGACACAACAACCCCTCACAGGCTAAGGCGCACCAGGCCCGCACCAGGCCCGCACCAGGGTTTTTTTCGGATGTGACTCATGCGCACGATGGAGCCAGTGTCCGACATAATCGGACACTGCTTCGTAGTTGGTGATAACATATGAGACATCATCAGCTGCGTGCCTGGCACGCTAGGTATCGAAGCCTCCACGTCGGCGGGCTGGCGTGGCTCTGCCGGGCAGGTTCGCCGAAACTTTGGACAGTTGTCCCCACAGGACAACTGGATTTTTCCTGGGAAGAATTCCGACCTTGGCGCGGGCTCGGCAGGGCTCCGATGCCGGGCAGGTGGCGCGGCCGGGGTGTCCACGAGACGATGATCCTCCACGCTGTCCTGGGAACCTCGTTTCCCAAATGGATTCTATTCTACCTGAATCAAATCGTGGGGGGAGTTCAATGCAGGGAATCCCTGCATTCCCGGTATCTCTCTCTTTAGAGGGGGTTTCCCAAATGGATTCTATTCTACCTGGCACTTATGTTTTCGAAGTGCCTTGGAACTGGAAACAGGCATGTCCCATTTTTTGGGCCCTGCCCGCGTGGAGTTCCGCGTGGAGTTCAGACGCGAACTGCGCAGCGACTGCAGCGACAGCTGCAGACTGCGCCGCGCGAAAGCGCGAACACAGAACATAGCACCTCTCTCTTTAGAGGGGGTTTCCCAAATGGATTCTATTCTACCTGAGAGGCTCCTGGCACTCGTCCGTCCAGCAATTGACCTCGTCCTGCGAAGGATTCGAAGTCTAAAACGCTGCGTGCAGGCGTGTGGCTGCAAAATAATGACCCCTAGATATGCGGTTTGGCAAAATGCCCAGCAGCAGCCTTTGTTTCTGCAAGGCGAGCGCCCTCAAAGGAAACCCTGGCTGGCTTTTTTGGTTGGCTTCTGGCTGGCTTGGCTTGGCTTCTGGCTGGCTTTCTGGCTGGCTTTCTGGCTGGCTTGGCTTGGCTTGGCTTCTGGCTGGTTTGGCTTGGCTCCTGGCTGGCTTTCTGGCTGGTTTGGTTTGGTTTGGCTTGGCTTCTGGCTGGTTTGGTTTGGCTCCTGGCTGGCTTTCTGGCTGGTTTGGCTTGGCTTCTGGCTGGCTTTCTGGCTGGTTTGGCTTGGCTTTCTTTTTTTCCCTGTTTTTTTTAGCTCGCCTTGCAGAAACGCAGCTGCTGGGCATTTTGCAAGCATATCTAGGGGTCATTATTTTGCAGCCACACGCCTGCACGCAGCGTTTTAGACTTCGAATCCTTCGCAGGACGAGGTCAAATGCTGGACGGACGAGTGCCAGGAGCCTCTCAGGTAGAATAGAATCCATTTGGGAAACCCCCTCTAAAGAGAGAGCCTTTCGGGTCGAGGAAGTCGGTCTTCTCCAAGAGCTGCAGGATCGGGGCGGCGGGTTGCCCAGCAAGGCCTCGACTTGTTGCCTCACCCGCTGCGCCACCTGCTCCTCCGTGAGGTGGGCCGGGTGCCGTGGCCAGCTCGTTCACCGGCAGCCAGTCCCTGCGCTCGTAGCCGCCCCAGCGTTCCTCCTGCCCGGAGGATCACCAGCACGTGGACCAGGTACTTGTAGAACTTGTTGCGGAAGAAGCTCTTGCCCAGCTTGGTCAGCCGGTGCTCTCCGCCCTGCAAGGAGCGCACGAGCTTCTTCCGCCCGTTGCGCAGCAGGATGTAGTCGTTGGGTCCCTCGCGGATGAGGGGCTGGTTGCAGTCGAAGTCCTTGCTGGAGGCCGCAGGCCCAGATGAGAGTAGTAGTGCCCGCCCAATTCAGCGTCCGCGCGCGAGAGCAGCGCGTCGGCCCCGGGTCCGCGCCGCAAGTTTAGCACGACGGCTCCACGCTCCCGTGCAAGCCCGGGCGCCGCCGTCCGCGGCCTCCGTGACCTGCTGTTGTTGTCTTGCCCAACTTGCCATTCTTTTTTTACGGGTCCATTTTTTTGTCCGGCCGCGCGCAT